CAGATTGCTGCAACCACTGTGGACACACAAAACAGAGAATATTAAATATTTTATTTGAAAATCATAATATAATCTTGCATTCCTCCGAGTACACAGCTATGAAGTCACTGTCTCATAAACCATAATCTGATAAAAATAGCTCACTCCATATTAATTTCAGCAATGGACATCTATGCACATGCATAATGATTATTATTCAACTTTAACAAAGAAAATAGAAACTTCAGTTTGTGATAACAAAGGTTAGCCTATAGGAGATCTTGCTAATGAAGATAAGACTCTGAACAAAACATACTACATGATCCACATGTGCATGTGGAAATTCAAATAATAAACAAATTACTAAAATATGGGAGTAGACAGTAAAAAATATGCATGGCAGAGTACAGAGTGTCAGGTACAATGGATATTCTAGAGAGCTAAGATATAGCTTGAGTATTGTAGACAACAGAGTACTAAATTTCACAAAAAGAAGATTTCATGCACAATTATACAATTAACAATGTATGGAATGAATGAGCTAAATTTATGAATATATGTGTATATACATATGCATATAAATATATGCATGCAATAACAGATAAAAATAGACAATGAATTTGAAGGATAGTGGAGACGGGAAAATGGGAGGGTTTAGAGGAGCGAATGGGAACTCTCACAAAAAATTAAAAATCTTCTAAAAAATGGATAGAATAAGAAATAAATGAAAAAAACTATGCTGATATGAAAGATAAAGAATGTGATAAAAATGCAAGTTGTCTTAATGATATGCAAAAACAAAAGAATATTGCAAAATAGAATTTGCCTTTTTATAATTTATTGTAATGACATATAATACTGGATATTAAGTGTTAATTTTAAATTGATTCTTTAATACCCTGTAGAGGGCATTTTTTACCTCCTTGTTCCTTAAACTGTATATCAAGGGGTTAAGCATGGGGATTACTAAGGTATAAAATACAGAGGCTATTTTATCATTCTCTAAGGAGTGAGTGGATTTAGGCTGCAAGTACATAAAGAGTAGAGTTCCATAGAACACCACAACCACTGTCAGATGAGACCCACAGGTAGAAAAAGCTTTTTTCCTGCCTTCTGCAGAATGCATTCGACATATGGCTAGCAGAATCAGAATGTAAGATCCAAGGACTACCAGAAGAGAGGAGATCAAATTCAATGCTGAAAATAATATGATCAACAATTGTATTTCTTGAGCATTTGAGCACAGCATAGGTAACAAGAAAACATCATCACAGTAGAAATGGCTGATGATGTTAGAGCCACAGAAAGTTAGTGTGAAAATCTTACTGGTGAACAGCAGAGCCTGGAAGGTGCTGTAGAGGTATGGAATGCCCACAAGCACATGGCAAAGTCTCTGAGACATGATGACATTGTAGAGCAAAGGGTTGCAGATGGCTACATAGCGGTCATAGGCCATTGCGGACAAGATAAAGAGTTCACTGATAATGAACATGAGGAAGAATGACAACTGTATGGCACATGCATAGAATGAAATGGTTTTTTGATCTTCAAGAAAACCCGCCAGCATTTTGGGACAGATGACAGTGGAATTCCCAAGATCAATGAAAGCCAAGTGTCTGATGAAGAAGTACATGGGTGTGCATAGCTGAGAGTCCAGCTTGGTCAAAATGATCATGCCCAGGTTGCTCACCACGGTGACAGCATAGATGATGAAGAAGACTCCGAACAAAGGGAGCTGAAGTTCAGTGCTCTGTGTGATTCCCATCAGGATGAACTCAGGCAGTGAGGTTGTATTCTTTTGCCCCATTTTATCCAATTATGTCCTCTAGAAGAAGCAAACATAGTTTTCAATTTTTATTAAGTTGTATTTCTAGGACGAACAGCTGCTTTGTAAATAACAGGTCACAAACAAAATTTGTACGTGATCTTTTAAATGAATGTATACACTATTCTACTTTGCAAGTGAAGTTTTCCAGAAGACATATACTGATGTACAATAAATTTACATATCATTATTTTTAATCATACATACATGTCAAAAATGGATATTAATATTCAAATGTTACTTTATACAAAGAGCTTGGTTGGTTAGAATGAATCTTTATTTTGTCTGAATTTTGTATGGAATTTTGTGTTCTTGAAGAGTAAGACTATGATAGAATGAAACAATCTTCTTGACTATTATAGTTTCTTAAATATTTCTAAGTTTTGGGAGACATTGAAATAGAAATACATAATTGGATATCTTTACAAATATTCCCAAAATAAATGTATTTTGCCCAGAGTCAAGTGTGCTCATTTTAATATTCTATGACAATTCCCCCCCTATTTTGCTCATGCTATTACGGGTGCATTGATGAGTTGGACTGCACTATTATCTGGAATTTCATAATGACGAATTGAAATTAATTCATCATAATTTCATCATAATGATGAAAAAAATTATTATTGAATGCACTTATCATTCAATAATAATTTCTAGTCTATTAGAGAAAAGTCATCTGAAAACAGCACAATATATGGAATTGTGCTTGATATTGTATGAATAAAATATCTTGCTAATAAATATTGTGTGTGTGCTTCAATGAGATTTAGGTATTGGTTGCTTGTATCTCAACTTGCACTTATAATTTATTTTTATTCTTCTCAATAGATTATTTATTTTAAGCTTCCAGATACAATGTTTGAATATATTCCTGCTAAAATATTAGTATTCAAATATTTTCTTTGTATATTTTTGCACAATTATTTTATAGCACAATATAGAAGTGGCATGGACTTAGGAAATATTTACTTAGCTTTTTTTACAATATGTACTACTTTTTACTTACTAATACAACTGAATGAGGGAATATTTATAAAGTTAGCCATCGTGATTGAATATATTTCAGTGGCATTTCCTCTTCATTTAATAAATTTGCACAATAAGCTGAGAAGCATAATATTTCTTTGAGAGAAAATAGCGAAAGTACATTATCCCATTTCACCCCATTACTTCCCTGTATTGGTTCAGTCCTGGTCAGTGAGAACCTTCACCATTGTCAGCATGATTTCCCATTGTAGGAGTAATCAAGAGTTTCATGCTCAGTCAAGTAAAATGACAGTAGGCTTGTCAGCATGAGCAGCACTAGTGTTAACCTCCTAGCTGCCATCCAAGCATCATTGCTAAATACTCAATAAAAATGTTTAGTACATAAAATATTTTATGGAAATGTTCATGTTAAAATTTTTTTTACAAATGTATCGTTTTCAGCAGGAAATTATATCAAGTATAGATTTCTTGTTTGTATTATTTGTGCTGTGAATTTATATCTACTCTTAAGCAAAATTAGATTTTTAAAATGTAAAAATAGCATTTTGTTGTTTATCATTATATAGGACTCACACCAGAACTTAATTTTTCTTTATATTTAAACCAAATATAATGTGCCATTCTATTTTGCTTCTGAAAATAATTATTTTACTATTTTCTAATGTGTGAGATGATTGATGAATTGTTGACGTATTTCCCACTACTCCTCATAAATACAGTGGATCTGGGAGATCTGTTCAAATGACAAAATTTAATGTCCTATGTCCACAATGCAACTCCATAGGAAACACAAGTGAATGCACTGTTTGTCGCGTGTTTCAAGGAATCAAAGAGTGCCAATAGCAAGAGGCCAGGCATGTTATGAACACATTTGCATGCTGGAGTCTATACTAAATACAGTAAATCACTTACCTTCCACAAAAGGATCAAATTCTCATATTCCAAATCACCTGTATTTTCTCTTTCAGTAACAAGAATTTATGGTTTTTGTTGCTCTTTCTCATGTTCCCTGGGGGAAATATCATGAATTTATTCAGATGATCACATCTGGATCATCTTAGACACTTAAGATTTTGTTTTGTCTTTCTAATTGTCTGGGACACCCTGTGTGCTCTCCAAGGAGATTATAGAGATAACTGTAGAGAAGGAAACAGACAATATAAACAGTCTGTGAATCCCACAGAGACCTGAATAACTTTACTAATTTATTCATTTATTTAAAGGGCATCAATTATTAATGTTATCATGGGAAATAATTTGAAATGTGCTTTAACCCTTTAAAAGTGGAAGACTTTCAAAATCATGATATAATTATGCATGCATTATTGCTGTCACATAAGAAGGCCTCCTTTTAGACTATTACTTAGGGAAACATATGAGAGACATTAGACTTATTGTTCAACCTACATTTGTGAGTTAGACGTTACAATTCCTGAAGACACCCAGCTGTGTCCTTCTGAAAACCATATTATAACAGCTAAAATATTTGATGTGAGGTTTTTCTTTTGAGATTGAGACAAATATGTCTGTCCTTTGTAACCTATTGCAATGCAGTATGCTATTGCAATGAGTACCCAATTGTTGTACACCCCGAGTAAAGGCATGGGTCCCTTGGGATAATAGACATTACCATGATACCAATATTAATTGCTAAGGTGACTTCAATATACATAAGAATTGAGGTTCATTTACATGTAATGGAATATAAATCATACAAATTGATGTTTGAAAAACTGTATGCTGTTTGAACTTACTGTGCAAAACCTAAATCAATACACAGAATATTTTCAACACCAAAAAATTTACTCCATGTCCTAGATTGTATCCATGTTTTGCAAATTTGTTTCATATTTAAATTTCCAAATCTTTTCTCAGATTCAAGTACTTATCGACTTTTTATATATAGATATTACATGCCATATAAGTAGAGAAAATAAAAGGTCTAGTCTTTCAATAGTGTGTTTCCTTCTTAAGTTAATCCTTTTAAAGTTTTGCTATATTACATTATTGCATAAATTTACTGCATCTTTACTTTTTGTCTTTTTTGATAAGATTCTTTACCTATACAATATATACTTATTACAGTTTCCCCTCTCTTTACTCATCCTAGTTCCTCCTACCACCACTGTTATCCAGATCCACTCCCTTTCTTTTTTATGTGAAACTGTATTTGACCAAAATTAGAAAAAGTGGTATTATCACATATGATACAATTGCAAGAATCTAAAACAGAGTAGGTTTTATTTAATTGCACAGTTTGCTAAAAGTTCATCTCCCTGGTAGTGTGATGCTTAATAAATAGGAGTGTGGGGCAGGGGTTCAGATAAGCTAGAAGCAGGGCGATTTTCAGTCAGAACTGTAAAATGGAGTTGTCTCCACACTGCTAGGAAATGTGGAATGTTTCAGTATGAGATGTTAACTGAGAAAGCAAAACTACAACAGAGCCCCCAAAAAGTGCACCCTATAGAATACTCCACATTCAGTTCAATCATGAGTATCTTGGTCTTCTATTAGTGTCACTTCTGAAGGAATTCAAGTCTTGGTAAAGTCAGGCTTCCATTTGTTGTTCCCTGAGCAATGGAGATGAAGTTAAACCACTTCCTTTTTCTATCCATTTGCTGCTGGAGGGACCTTTTGTGGCCTAACATTTGTTATTAGAACAATCTCCTTAATGTATTGATGGCTAGCCGTCTTTTTGTTTATTATTTGAGAGAGGATCTCACTATGCAGCCCTGAATGGCTTGTAACTCACTCTGTAGATCAGGTCAGCTTTAAACTCACAAGAGACCCACCTGCCTCTGTCTACTGAGCACTGGTAATAAAGCTGTGCACCACGGTGCCTGACTTTGCTAGCAGTCTTTGACATGACTGATCTGAAAAGGATTGGACTCTGCTATATTCCTTGCTGAGCATGTCATTAGACCACAGCAGATAAGTCCTTGGATAAGACACTTGCTCCTCAGAGAACAATTTTGGAGTGAAAGGAAAACGCACATGGAACAGAATCAAGGATCTATCAGAAGACGTGGGCAATCACCTTAACGTCCTCACTTGGAATGCTTAAAAATTTGTTCTGCACAGTGGGGTATGGAGACAACTCAGCATGATCAGGACAATCTAGCTATGACTTGACTTCCCACATTAACCTCTTCTTAATTTTTCCTCTATGTGGAAAATTCTTACACTTTTTCTTGTGACAACTACCAGGATCCCATAACTTCCCCAACAATGATGAGATACTATCAGATACTTGAGCCTGTGTTTGAAAGTGTAGAGCTGACTAATTCCCAGGAACCAAATGCCCTCAGCTTTAAGCAACTGCACTAAGTATGAAATTCCCCACCTATTTTAGGAATAAATGCAATTTAAGAACAAGACTAGCTGAAGAAGCTGGTGCCATTTAAAAGAAAAAGGAAAGACACTTAATTGGTGCTCAAAGCTTGTCTGATACGAAATATTCGGTCATGAATTCATTGTCTGCTTATCATTTCCAATAAGGCGGAAACACAGAGGGAGACACCTGGAATGTCACAGATACTTTAGTTCAGGCTCAGGTCCAATATCTTTAGCATCAGCTCAAGTCTGCACTTCCAAGATACTGTGGCACTTTAAATCTCAGAATGTACTTCCTGCCCTGTGTGTGACTCCTGACTGTCAAATCTGTAGCCTTATTTTTCGGGCTACAGAGTCAAATTATTTTCTGTAATCCTAACTAGTCAGAAATTATTTTTGCAAATTGAGATGAGGAATGGGTGCAAAGAATTAATCATTAATCAATAATTGCCAGCTAGCAATGATTGAGCTATTTTGTATTTAGGACCTAGCCAGACAGTTCAGTGTGTCCTTGTGAACTAAAGATTGATTTTTCTGAGAATGTTTATCTTAAAGATCATTAGCAAGGCATCTGGTCTAATCTAAAGCTATTTTGAAGCTTAGTACTAATTAATGGCACTTAAGAAACCTGTGGCTGTGTTTCTCAGCATTAAGATCAAAGGAATTTAAATGAGCCTGGCTCTAGGACTCAAATATTTTCCTAAATCATAAATCTGAGCTGTGACCTGAAGCAGCTCCTAAGTGGGACTCATAAGCCCTGACTGTGTAGCATTTCCTTGTATTCATTTTTATTCATCAAAATTCTCATTACCAACTTAGACAGTACAGTTTAAGGAGGAGTCATCTTCCTGACAATCCACAGATATAAATGCCCAGTAGATTGGGATGTTTTTATGATATAAACATGCTACAATATAGGCAGTGGGAGACACTCCATAGTAACACACTTCATAACAGATGCCAGAGAAAGATTGTAGCAGCAAATATGTAGAAGGACAACAGAAGCAAAAAAACATTCTGGAGTCTGTAGATTCATGGCCTTGCTTAATGAGGTTTATATCCATCAGAGAGTTTTTCTTCTGGTGGGCTGACACCCTGAACCCCAATTTCCACCTTCTGTTCCTCTGATATGGCAGAGAACCAATGATCCTTTGGATAGTAATGGGAGCCAGGCATGGTGGTGTACATCTTTAATTTTAGCATTGATGTGAGAGAGGCACATGGACCTCAATGAGTTCAAGACCAGAGTGGTTTATGTAAAGAAATACAGGCCAGTGAGGGCCATATTAACAAAAACATAAAATACAAAAATAAAAATGGGATATGCACAGGCTGTATCTCATTTCCATTTTAGTTCTTATTTATCTGGTGACTAATAAAAATTAAATTATTCCTTATACTAGATCATTCCTTTATTAAACTTATGAAGTTTCTTAGAAAATTTAACAAATTTCAATTAAAAGTATATTTTCTATGTTTAATTTATTTATTTAGAGCAACTAAAAGTGGGTGAAAAATTTTAAGACACTAGATGAGTACATGTTGGATGATTTCTCTTTGCTTCCTATTAAGCTATAGAACACACATAGAAATGAAAATGCCTATATTAAAATTTATAGGATTCATTTTATGTAAAACATTAAGAAAAAACATTACATAATATTTTCCACAACCTTTGTAGGGCACATTTTACATCTTTGTTCCTTAGACTATATATCAAGGGATTCAACATGGGGATAACCAGAGTATAAAAGATGGAAGCCACCTTATCAGTGTCAAAGGAGTGACTGGACTTAGGCTGTACATACATAAATATCAACGTCCCATAGAAGACGATGACCACTGTCAGGTGGGACCCACAGGTAGACAAAGCTTTCTGCCTTCCTTCAGCTGAATTCATCCTAAAAATGGCTATAAGAATGAGTAGGTAAGAAAATAGGAGGACCACTAGAGAGGAAACCAAATTAAACCCTGCTGAAATCAAAATTATAATTTCAATTTCGTGTGTATTTGAGCAGAGCAATGATATTAAAGGGAGACTATCACAGAAGTGACTAATGATCTTGTATCCACAAAAGGGTAGAGCAAAAATTTTTATAGTGATTAGAAGAGAAATAATTACACTATAGAAATAAGGAACTGCCACTAGCATCCAACATACCCTCTGTGACATGATGACAGTGTACAGCAGAGGCTTACAGATGGCCACGTAGCGGTCATAGGACATTGCAGACAGAATGAAAAGTTCACAAATGATGAACACAAGGAAGAAAGTTAGCTGTGTTGCACAAAGATGATTAGTGATTGTATTTTGATCCACAACAAAATTTACCAGCATTTTGGGTCCAACAGCTGTAGAATAACCAAGATCAGTGATAGCCAAGTGTCTGAGAAAGAAGTACATTGGTGTTTGCAGCCGGGGATCCATCATGGTGAGAATGATCATGCCCATGTTGCCAACCAATGAGATCAGATAGATGATGAGGAACAATCCGAACAATGGAGCCTGTAGCTCAGGACGGTCATTGATGCCCAGCAGGATGAATTCAGCCACCACTGTGAGGTTGGGTGTCTCCATCTGGCCTTATAGCTAACTGATGTTCTGGATTGATACATCAATCCACCCAATAACTTTTCTGCATTATCTTCTGGGAAAATCTGTAACAAATGTAAATTAGATACCTCTGAAATTTCCAGTTATGTTATTTGAAAATGACAATATCTTTACTAATAAAAATTTTAACTAGAATTTAAGAGAGACAGAGATAGATTAGGGGTTTTAAGTTAAGTTTTATTTAAATAATGCAGTACTAACTCAGGGCATAATTGCATTGTCTTTGTCAGAAGTGAGACAAGATATAAATAGAAAATGACATTTAAAAGTAGAATCAATGTTATGAATTTTGTAGTTTCATATATAATTATTATTGTACTATTTTTTAAAGTTTTCAGCTAGTTGTTTTTATAAAGTCAATGTTATAGTGGGTCTTATAAATTGCTTTGAGTAATATGATTAAATAATTATTTTGATGTTATAAAAATAGCAAACCTCAAATTTATAAAGCATGTAGGAACTATTATGTAAAGAAAAGTACCATGAAGCCTTTATTCCAGAATATGTTATAACCTGGATACACTGGATAAATGTTGGACAGTGTCTGAATGAGGAAACAGAGCAGTGACTGCAGTGATAGCTCAGCAATCAGGAGCAACCGCTGACCCTGCAGAGGATCCAGGTCTCACTCACAGCACCCATGTGGCAGCTTACTTAACTCCTATTGCCAGGTTTCTTATGCTCTCTTTTTGTCTCTGAAGGCACCAGGCATGCACATGGTGCACATCCATCAGTGCAGCCAATTATTTAGCTATAATAAATAAATAAATAAATAAAATTTAAAATAAGAAAACAGATCATAGGGTCAGAGTAAACATCAGAGTGGATATTAAGTGTCTTTGTGTGAAAATAAAAGTCTGTTATATTTTGATTTTTAATAATTGTGTCTTGACTAGAAAAGTTTAGAAAATGTGTATAAGACACACATATATAATGTGTATAATGTTTATACATTAATATTTTCAGTGCTATATCTTGTTACAGTCCTAACAAAGGGTTATTTTGGCAAAAATGCTGGTTTCTAAAGCTCATTACACTTATGGATATATAAACAGCATGTCCTTGAAAGTCTTCTGAGAGGAGGAAGGCATATATCTACAAACTAGTCTCCCATTTTAAAGCTTTTATGAGTACCAACACTGCCTTAAGAGACAAATGAGTCCTACACAGATATGATAACTGTTAATAAAAATGGTAGAGAAAAGTCTCTAAATTAACTGTGAGGAATATAAAATCATATACTTTGTTACATTAAACATACAACTCATTAATTATGATTTGCAAGTACATTAATTGAAATATTGCTTATGATGTTGAGACCTCATTATGTCTTACCAGCTTCCCAGAATATGTCTTCCTCACATGAGAAGTACAGAAATTTAAATCAGATGAAATTATCAGATAGCTATAGTAAATATTAAAAACCATAAATTTATTCTTATTTTTCTTCATCTTGTTTTCTACAATCATCAAATGCTATAAAGTATAATGTGTGTTGTCATTAAAACTTTTCTATATATCAGATAATGAAAAGACATTCTTTTAGAGTTCTATAAAAGCAACATAATTTTCTTATAATGTTGTCTATTGTTTTTAGATTTTTTTTCCTGGAGCCTGTCACATTCCACTAGAATGGAAGAACATTCTTGACACTGCATCACGGACATACGTCTGAGTACTTCAATACATTCATTTTCATAATCATGTTATTTATGGGAAAACATGAGCATTCCCATTTTACTTTTAAATGTCGTGGAAGAACTGGATTTGTACATATACTTAAATAATATTTGAAGCCTAGATTGTTTTTCAAAAGATCAAAAAGAAAATCTAAGGAAATCCAATGTCTAAATATTTGGACTTTCAAAAGAAAGCTTGTACTTTCAAAAGAAAGCAGCTGTGTGATTCTGCCATTAAAAATACTAATGACGTATCTTTTCAGCAGTGCTTCATTGGGTCTGTTTCTTTTCTGTTAGAGATAAAGTTAGTTATATAAAACTTAAT